CGGTTCTGCCCTGTGACGGTCTCTGTTTTTTACTATTATTTTTATTTTTGTTAATTTAGTCAGCTCGAATCTGATGAGTTACATTCGATTCGAAATGAAACTGAAAAATATTATAGTAAATATGGTCAATTAGAGAACATTATTGAGAAGTTTTATAAGACATATGAATATGATTTTTTTATATTGAATTTTGAAATGAATTAAGTAAATAAGCTTAAAAATAAACATAATAAATCTCGATTAAAAAAAATACAATCGAGATTGAATAGAAAATAGAAATAATAAAAGACACCATTGGAGTAATTTCCAAACAAATACTAAAATTATAAAGATAAAAATTTTCTGATTAAAAAACTGAATTGTATTATTATGCATCATCATCACGTAATGGTTTTTGAACTTCTCGACTAGATCTAAATAAAATAATATTTCTTTTTTCTTATTTTTTAATTACCAATCTTTACCGTTCATTATTGTCGTATTTTCTAAAATAAAGTATAAACATTAAATTATAGTAAAAAAGAAAACGATTAATAAAATAACCTTCGAGGGGGTGGAACAGGTGGTTTCTCAGTCTGTTTTTCATTGTTTTTCTTTGGAGAACATCGAATAATAAGAAATACAATACCAGCAATAATGGGTATGAAAAGAATACCAGATACAATTCCGATAATAACCCATTTACTTGGGTATCGACGTCCAAGTCGTTTATCGGATGGACCTATACGTGGATCTAGAATAAAATGCATATCAAATGAATAAGTTTTTTTGATTATTTATTTGATAAAAATAACTACTACAGATACTACAACTAGAAAACTCAATTTTTTTATACGAAAATGAAAAGATGCACTTGTTCTATAAGCCAGATCTCTGTCTGCAAGAAAGAATATATCAATACCAAAAAAATTAAAAATATTTTTTTAAAAAAAAATATTAACTTACCTATACGTGATTTGCTAGTTTTTTTCGAAATTTTTTGTTCACCAACTCCAGCTTCACTCAATAAACGAATAGTAATCAAATAATTTGTATCTGGTTGAAGTCCTTTCAATTCAAATTCAGTTGTTAATGGATCAAGTTGTATTGTCGGACTCGATTGTTCTACAGCATTTATACCTCGAACCTAAAAGATATATAGCGATGTATCTTATCTTTGTATTAAATAAACTTACTTTTGCATAAGATATTTCAGCTCGTGAAATAGGCGAACCACCATCAGATTCAATAATCCATTTAATTAAACAAGATTGATCATCAAGACATGAGATATCTGACGAAAGAATTTTAAATTGTGGTACTTGTCGATCAAGTGTTTTCAATTGATACGGTATAGAAAGTGCACCTTCTCCAGCACGAGATTTTGCTACTATTTGTATTCGATATAATGACGATGGTTGAAGAGTTTCAATACGAAGATTCTGTGGTTCATTAGATACAACTAAAATATATAAATAAGGAAATTTTTTATTATATTTGTTTTTTTCTCTACTTGGAAAAGTTTGTGTTTTTAATGAATTCGGTATACCAATTTGTTCATATTTAATAAGATATTCAAGTAAAGGTAAACCACCTAATTCTAATGGTGGTTGAATATTTAATTGAATTGAATTTGATTTTGGTTTAACTTCAACAACACGAACTTGTCGTGGTGGTTCAGCAAGTCGAAGATTCATTGAATATCGTCCTATTCGAGGATTAATAGCACGACATTCAAAATTTAAACCAAAATCTTGTTCCATTGGATTATACTATATCAAAAAGAAAACTCAAAAAGAGAAAATTTTGTAAAATTTTTACTGTTAATTGTGTTTCATAAAGTGTTGGACCAATTTGTCTTGTTAATATATCGATTACTTGTGGATCATTATCTTGTACAAGTACATGACCACCATCAGGTTCTTGTGCTGTTCGAATCATTTTAACCCATTGAATTGTGGGCTGTGGATAACTATCGAATTGACATTTCATAATTGCTAAAAAGAAAAATCAAAGAAATAATTTTTATTTATTTAAAAAATATTCTTACCTCGATAGTTAGGAACACTAAATATAACAGGTGCATTCGGTCCAATAAATACAGGTCGATCTGAAATGAAGAATAATTGCAGAAGAATTATTTAGAGATTTTTGTATTTACATTCAACAAAAAGATTTCCAATAGTTGATGTAATATCTGCTAGATTTTTAGCTAAACATGTATAATTTCCATGATGTTCACGACGTACAGGATCAAAACGTATTTCAATCAAATGATTTAATGCTAATTGAGTAACATCAATTGAAATACCATTAATTGGCTATAGAGAAAAAGAAATTATTCTTGAATATAAAATCATTCATAGTTTGTAGTAAAAAATTTGTAAATCTCGTATTTCAATCTTACTTGAACAGGAGTACCATCGGTAAGAATCCATTCCAAACTAAGACTATCTGCTGAACCACGTAAAACACGACAAGTAAAAACTGCACGTTGTGGTGGACTATTTTCATCAAGATTAACTTTTATTTGTGGTATAGGTGCAAGACGAGGTGGAACTAAATATATTTCAAAAATAAATACAAAATCTTTTTTGTTTCAATTATTTACCAATAACATTAAGCATATATTCTGCTCGTTGTCCACGCCGATCATAATCATTAAATGCTTGACATGAATATCGACCATTATCAGTTTCATCAACATAATTAATAACTAAAGTATTTCCTCGAACAACAAATTTCGATATTCCACTTGTACCAATTGGAACATCCTAGAAAATTATCAAAAAAACAGATTATTCTTATATTCTATATCATCAATAAAAAACCTGTCCATAAAACCATATAAATTGTGGTGGTGGCATTCCACCTGCTTCACAAATTAAAGTAGCTGTTTGTTTTTCAACAGCACATGGTGCTGCACATACAATTCTTGGTGGTGTTATACCCTCTAAAATATTTCATAATAATACTAATAAGAAAATATATTATTGAATAACATACGAGCTATAATAACTTGAATTGGATAATCTTTTGATTCTCCTGTTTCTAGTACATCAGCTTGACACCAGAATATATCATTATCTGCTAATGAAACTCGAAGAATTTTTAAACCATCATTACTTCGTTCGTAATTTGATGGTGTCAAACGTGTTTTATCACGACCTTTAAACCATGTTACTTCAGCAGATGGATTTGCTAATACACGACATTTAATGATAATAGCTGAATTTAGTTCAGCATATTGAACTGGTTCACCAAAAAATGTTATTGGAACTATAAGAAAACATAAAATTAATTATTATTGTAAGAAGAAGAATTTCTTTACCTTTAACATTAACTTGTAAAGTACGTGATAATGGTCGTCCATCTTGATCAGATCCTAAACATTCCCATACACCTTGATCAGTACGCGTTAAATTTCTTATACGTAATCGTAATCCATATGTCTGCCGTTCGACTGTCACTCTAGACAAAATAATTCAATGAAAAATAAAATATACCGAGACATACACTCTAAAACTATTTATTCACCTTGCAGTATCGTCTTCTGCAATATCAATTTGTAATGGAGATCGCCAAGTAGCTAGAAAAAAAAGAAAAGAATAATAATAATTTATTCAATAGAACATAAACAATCATACAGACCAACTCGAGTGTTTGGTTGTCCTGTACATGAAGCAACAAATGATTTGAATTGATCACGTAATACAATAGATTCGGATGGTTTTATAACCAATTGACCATGTGAAATATTAATTAAATGAATAACTAAAGTGAATAATAAGTAAATATATCTTGATAAGAAAGAATAACTTACTAAAAATAATTGAAATATGTATTGATAAGAACATTTGTTTTTCTTTCATACTCAAGAAGTAGTTGTATTCGTATCTGACAATTACAAACGTGCCTAAAATAACATTTCATCTTATATATATATGTATGGTTATAATTAATATTTAGATCAAAGGATTATAACATGATCAGAAGTTTTATTTTTGATATATGAGATATAAAATACACGATTAGATGATTTCTCGTAGTATTACCGAATACAAAAGTCTCATGATACATATTAGATTACTTTTCTATATTAGAGAATCTTGTATTAATTCCGATTAATAAAAAACTCTTTTCGTATCCATATATCAGACTAGGATACTCTAAAAGATACGGTAAAATAATATTTTGCTAGCTTCATGATGAAACCGTGATATTTCGTACTTAAATAAATTATTCGCATATCACCGTTATGCTGCTTACCTTGTCTATCGATCGAAAAAAAACGATTTTTTTTCGCTTAACAGGAACCTATTCTCTTCATCCGTTAGTCGTGATTATACAGCAAATATATGTTTATCTCTTTTCTTTGCTATCGATGAGTCGTCAGGTCAACACACGCAGATGTATAACATCATTAAAAGTATGAATTGTATTTAATTTTACACATATTATATCGGTGAGTTAATACATTTGAACGAGACTAATTGATGTAATGTTTACATATCTATGATTAATCTGCATTCAAGATTGAGTTTTTTTATTTTCGAAATAAATATACGGGTCAACATTTGTTTTTACTTACGGTGATAGAAATGATGACGCTTGTCTCACTCGTTGTTATTATTTTATGCATATGACCTCGGCTTCAACACTACTAACCACATCGTCGTCATCGTAAAATTCAATCTCTCGGTTCTTTTTTTTTCTTCTTTTTCTTTCTTTCGTTCGTTCTTGTTACTTATTTTTTTCTTGCGTTCGCATGTGTTCTTCTGTCAATAAAGACATATTGCTTCTCTCCTATTCTCTCACCTTCATCGGACAACGGTAATTTATATTGTGAATATGAAAGAAAATACAATTTTGATTCTATATTAATTGTCCTTCGAGAATAGAGAAAAAATATCAAATGAAATCATTGTTTTATAGAAATTTTTTGAGAAGAACAATAGTTCAAAAAGAAATACGAGAGACTATTAAGAATAGAATATTGTACATGATTACCTGTTGTGAATATAACACTTTTAGTGTCAAATCAATTAAGTTTTTATATTGAAGAAAGTTTAAAAAATTCATTACTCATGTTGATTGAGAAGAGTTCTTTTTGATGTTGATCATAATCGCGTGTTTAGAAATATTTACTATTGAATTAGATCTACACTAGTCATACAAGGTCATTTGCATGAAATGAATGACAAATAAATTTTGTAGATATATCAGTGTCCTAAATTAGAGATCATTTTGATAAGTAAAATATCACCAAAATAATGGCAGATCAGTTTATGTAAAAAAAACGTTAATAATTGTACTTAAACGACTATTATTTAATTAATACGTATCTTTGATCTATACAAAGAGAAAAAAAATCAAATATTAATTCATTGTAAGCTAGTAGTTACATTGAAATGAATGACTACTTCTCTGAGAGTATCTGAACCACATTAGTCGAAGGTAATATAATAATTGTATTGGGAATATGTGCCTGTAAAATGAATCTAATACTCATATACTATTCTCTTCATATCTAAACTGAATATTATGTAGTTTAATCAACAGATTAATACTATATAAATATTTATTGCCATTTTTTCATTAACACAAATAGCACTCATATAATTAATAAAAATCCAATTGGATGTCTTATTGAACTGGCACTTAGTGTAATTATAAAATTAACAAACTTTAGTAAAATGATTTTATCTATCATACATTACAGATTAAAAAAACTAAAAAAGATTTATATGACTCTTCCGTCAGATAATGACTAACTAAATATGTCTCTGTCATTTATATTAATATACCAATTACAATTAAATTAATTTCAATTATTTTGAAAACTTAATGTTGATGAATGAAAGAAAAGTTTAATTCTATCGTTAAATATCGTTTGAGAATTAAAACAAAAATTTTATTTAACATTTCATTCATAATGAAAAACAAGCCAGTTTATATTAATCGATCAGGCTTGAGTAGTACAGCTTTCATGGTATTCGATAAATTTTTGTAGAAAATAAAGAATCGTTTTATGTCTTTGATCAATTATCATAATTAAAATTTGAATTGACGTCGCTATACCAAAACATTGTCATTAAAGTTTCGTTTTAAGTACAAAAATTTTTCCATTGTTACTTTTATTATATTAACAACCACGCCCAAATAACATTCTCTTTCCAATGTAAATGACAATCTTTTTGAAATAATCGGTAAAGAACATCGTACTTTTTGTTAATCCTTGCTACTTATGTGTCAAGTTAAAAAAAGTAATTCAGTCATCAATCATACTAAAGTACATTCCTTGATATATCAGGTGAATATATATACTTGATCAAATTTAACTGTTAAAATGATTATCCTAAAATTCTTTATGTATACACGTATGTACAAGAAATTTTAATAAAATATTTTAGTTATCACATGGTTAATTAACAGCAGCAATAGATATAAATACAAAAAAAACTAGTTTTTTCAATCAAAATACAATTCATTTAAGCGAGAATAATTTATAATAAAAATAAGGTTTCTAAAGTCTGTATAATAATAAATATTAGTATATGTATTACGGGTTCACTCATCACCGAAGAAGAAACTATTGGTGTAGATAATTTAGGATGCATTATTTTTCTTTTTCCACATATAGGAAAATTTTCCGGTGGCGATTGAATTAGTCCTTCATATCGTCCATTTCGTTCTACAGACAAGACAACCGCCATGCCAGGCCAAATATGCCATTCCATATGACAATGTAAAAACCATGGACCTGGATTATTTGCAGTAAATCGAAAGACAACATAACTTTCACGTGGTATATTAAATGAATCACCAACACTAAGAACAGATGGTGTTGAATTAAGAGCTGGTAAAATAGAATCATAATTAAATTCATTAGTATCTCGTCGTGTACGATTGCATGTAACTGGTTCTATATATGGTATTTTACCTACAGCAATAAAATCAACTGTATATCCATGTAAATGCCATGGATGTAATTGAGGATCGTTATTAATCATTAATATTTCATATGTTTGACCATATTCAAAATGTTGAATATGAGTAGCATAAGTATTATTAACACGACCTAATCTTTCATTTGCAATACAATTTTGAAATGTACCATCGAAATAATTTCCATGAAGTACAGGTTCTTTTGGAGGTTCAAATGTAATTCCATTAACAACCCATTCTTCTAAAGAATCGATATGTGTACGATTATTATAAAGAACATTAAAGGCAAGTGTAACACGACGAATAGCAGCTGGAGCAAAACGAGGTTTAGCTGGTTTTAAATATTCATATTCAAAAAATGGATCATCAGCACTCAATATTGGTTCTGCTGGTAATTGAATTGCACGTTTATCAATTTGTACTTTTGAATAAACTAATAATGCCCATGTCCACATAGTCGGTGTAGGTCCAGTAATATTACAAGGAGATTGATAACTATTTCGACTAGCTGCATATATTGTATATTTTACAGTTGGATCTTGACTACAATTAATAATTAAATCAAGTCGTTGACCAATAGCAATATGTAAATGTGGAACAATAATAGGTAAAATTTCAATACCATCTCGAGCAACAATAGTAAGATTATGTTGATCAATCCAAAAACGAAATGGAATACCACTAGCAGCGTTAATTAATCTCAAACGTATTTGTTTACCAGATGGACATAAAAATTCATCGATATCATGTGCATTGGAATCACATGGACCAAGAAAAGGTGATCGAAGTGGAATACATTGTGCTAAATGTCGATCACCACAAGTATCACGCCAAGTAGTATTTTCAGAACAATCGGATATACGACAATCGAATTGACCATGACCATTAATTAAGAAAGATGTAGGTGGCCATGGAAAAATAGGTTTACTACCTCGATAAGCACCATACGGACCTTGATATGCGGTCATAAGATCAGGCCAAGTTTCATGATACCATTCTTGTAACATAATAACATAATCATATGATTCATAATTATATTGTTGTTCAATAGTATCATGATCAAGTATAATTGGACCTAGTAATCCATCTGCATATTGTTGTGCATTATGGGAATGATACCAAAATGTTCCTGTTTGTGTTATATTAAATTTATAAATAAATGTTTCAAATGGATAAATAGGACATTGAGTAATATGTACTGTACCATCTGCCCATGGATTATTAAGCATATGAAGACCATGAAAATGAATAGCTGTTGATTGAGCACGTAACATATTAGTAACTTGAATACGAAGTTGATCACCAAGTGTTGCTCGAATAAGAGGACATGGAAATGGTCGATCAATATCCCATGTTGAATTAGCATGATGCATAATAACCACAGGTCGAGGATATCCATCTGGATTTGATGGAATACTTCGAATAGTAAAATTATATTCCACAAGTGCTGATTCAAGTAAACGATTATCATAACATAGAAAGAATAATGTAATTAAATGAATAAATATCATTAGTTTAATGTTTTATTCTCTAAATAATAATTATATACGTATAATATAAAAAACACTTCGTTGACAAGAAAAATATGACTATGAATTTAACTAGAAGTTGAAAATATATATAATAATTAATTTACGAACAATCTATGAAGTGTAAGATGAGATGTCAATGTATATTAAAACGATTTGAATTAACATTCAAGTACTTAGTGATTTATTTTTTTGCCTTTTTTCGTCGTCTAAAGTGTATAGATATATATATATATGCAATCGAAAACGTTTAATCCTATATTACCTTTATTAATCATCAAGTAAGGTCAAAACTCGTAAAGAGTGCAAAACAGAAGCAGATTGAAAGTCTATACTTTACATAAGCAAACTATTTGACTCTTATCCGATTATTAGTTTTTAATAAAAAAATCAATGAAATATATTTCTCATATTTTATTTATCTTCAAGTCTAGGTTAGATTTTATAACCGACTTAAAGCTCACCAATCTCTAGCTTATAGAATATTTGACTTATACTATTCGTTATTTTTTCAGTTTTAAGATTCTAAATGAACGATTTATAATACAAACATTCCTGTAGCTAAATCGAATGAAATTTTGTTGAATTTTTTTTACAGATATGATTTTTAACGAAAAAAAGTGACTGCTAGACAAAGCATATGCTAGATTAATATGAGTCATGTTGAGTCCTTTGAGTCACTATGAATGAAAAAAAGATGACTAACATCGAGTATTTTTTTGTGTGTGTTATTATCTTCAAAGCCCGAGATGTATACATAGAAAGAAAAGAAAAACATTTAACCATATATTTATGTCGTCGACAGAAGAAAAAGCTTCATAAATATACGAGGTCTGACATCCATCCATGACTGACGAAAAATAAATATTTATTAAATATTTTATGCTCAAAATATAAGTAGCAGTAAATATTTCTATACGCAATAACAAAATGGCAAATAAGTGTTTTTATAGTGTCCTGTTTTTTAAATATAAGAAATAATGCGAGTCTTCTGACTTTAAAAGTAGAACAAGAAATTTTTCATAAATAAACCTATCGCTTTTCTAGATTTAAAGATTACGTTCGATAATGGAACAGTCTAACAAACTGAAACCAACAGAAAATTTATCGAGGCGTAGTCCACCAAAAATAACTTGGCAACATTCATGGTCATCAGATGAAACAAAAAATGGATTAGAAAACTCTCACTTTGGAACTATTCCAACTGAAGTGATGTTAGACATATTCAAATATTTGTCTGTACATGATTTAGGTAATGTCTCATTGACTTGTCGTTCATTTAAAATGATTGCCGATCAAGATGAAATATGGAAACTAAAATATAATTGTACGTGTATTTATCTTATGTCTTTGATCTTTAACAATTCTTTTAATGTTAATAGCATCAACAAAATTACATTCAAAATCTTATAAAGAAATTTATATAGATTGGATGTATGAAAAATATTTACGTAATATAGAATTAGAAGAAGTCGAAGCTCACTATCATGAATATAGCTCAAATTTTGCCTGTGGAGAACCATGTGAACCACCTCGATATCCTATTCGACCAGAAGGTCAACATCGTTTTGCATCTATTGGTGGATTCAAACAACATCCAAATGAATCACAAGATATGTAAGTTACATATGAGTCTTAGTACTTGATATACCATATATCGTATGTAGAAATATTTATGCCATAGTGTCTCTATATTATTATTCAATTTGTATAATTATGAATCTCAAAAAAAAATATTCAATATAGTAGAGAGATAAACATACACATCGAAGAATCACATCATTTTTGTAAGAATTATTCAAAATTTGTTTCTATTGTTTAGGACAATTGACTTATCAGTTGATGTCGATAAAACAGCTCGTGAACTTATTTCATTATTAAAAAAAAGCATCACAATTTCGTTCTCAATGGAGACAATCATCGATCATCAAACAAATGATGACAAGATATTATCGATTTATGCAACTCAAAGCTTCATCACCAAATAATATTCTATTGATTCCAACATTAGATATTGAGATCATTTGGCAAACACATCTTCTACGACCACAAATGTATCGAGATGATTGCATGAGATTATTTCATCGTATTATTGATCATTCTTTATTAGCAACTGAAATGGAACAATTTCTAAAAGAACAAGCATTTATTGATACTTGTAAACTATATGAAGAACGATTTGGAGAACAATATTGTTCATTACCTGAACATAATGATAATAAACCTATCGCTCCAAAATATGTTCATCCCGTGTTTGGATCATTAAAATGTGTTATTCCAATATATTCATATTGGGATGAAACAAATTTTGATTTTTCATCAGTATCATTAACTAATCATGATGATAATTCATTTTCATTCACTGAAGCTGATATTATTCTTGATGGAAATTGGCTTGATTTATGTAGAAAATATATGAAAGAAATGTTGTTAACAGTACCTGTTCAAAATTATTATCCATATGATGATATTGATCTTAGTAAAGCATCGATAATCAGACTAAAGAAGTCTTATGAACGATTCTTATACATGTCAACAAAATATCTACCATCAAATGGATATAATTTTATACATCCAACATATGCGGTAAGATCTTTTACATGATGTATGGATATGAGAGAGAGAAGAAAAATAAATTTATTTCTTTGAATAGATTGATATTATTTGGCATTCACATATGCAAGAGCCATTGAAATATGCATCTGACTGTATTCATCTTGTAGGTTATGTAATTGATCATGCACCATGGCCATCGGTTGATACAAATAAAAAGAAAAGTTCTTGTGATGATACGATGAATGCTTGGAAAAAAGAATTTGACAATGATATGCAAACAGATCATTTATATAATACGAAAAGAAATGATTATGACTACTGGGATGATGATTAATATATTTCGTGCTAACTAATACACTAAAGTTCTTTTTGTTATAAAGATTTTATGATTAAATAAAATTAATTGATATTCGATTTACATTATTTATGTCTGAGAAGTGACATACATTTCGAGTTTATAAGTTCTATAAATACCTAAATTAGAACGTTGATGTAGACATTAATAACATACAATAAGTATACAGAAAACTAATATATAAACACGATATTTACACCTACTACATATTTCTACAATGTAAACAATTATTTTTCAAAAATATCAACACTTTACGATTATATAAAAATAGATTAATAATTTCTGCAAGTACACCGACTGTAGCCAATAATTTTAATATTTGAACCGATAGACTATATGTATTTTGAATAGCAAATACAATATAAACAGGACTCCATCCAAACAAGAAAATTAAGAGAAGAATAAGCATTCGTTTAATTAGACGAATATCTCGACGATATGTCAGTTTTTCCTGATTTATAGTAGCTATCGGAGCAACACGTTGTCTCGATGAACGAGCATGTAAAACAATAAAGATATTGATCAACAAGAAAAGTATACTTGGAATAACAAGTACAATCAATAAGATATATAAACGTAACCATAACGGTTCATTAATATTTTCACAAGACTATGTAAACATAAAAACAGTTCCGATTATTTTTCAATACTTTTAAATAGTTCAAAAAAAGAATAATAATTACCTGTCCAAATATAGTAAATAATGGTAAGGGACATATCATTCCTAATAACCATTGAATTCCAATACAAGTAAAAACCCATTGTCGACTTTTAAATAAAAGTTTATTGTTATAAAGAATAATACAAAAACGATGTATTGAAATATTACAAACTGAATAAATTTCTTGACAATTGACAATAGTTTGAAAATATTCGAATATACTACAATTCCAATTTGATACATTATTTAATAGTTCGATTTCAAAAAAACTATAAATAATCCAATATATTGAACAAATAATACAACTCATACAAACATTAACAGTTAATATATTAATAGAAGTACGAAAACGTCGGAGAAAAATAATTGGAATCGAATAAATACAAGCCAGGAGAATGATCACGATAAAAAGGACAATTTTTATTATAAGAATAAATTGAAGAGATTCAATCATTGCTCGATCTATGAATGTCACAGGTATACATCACTTTAATGTTTTTATTTTTCTTCGTGCTTTCTCATTATATATGCAGAAAAATATCTATGTCAGCACGATCATATTAGTTCTATTCAACCGCAAGATCTTCTAAAAGGACAGAAATCTGCATCGTCATTCGTATAATCACAATAGAAAAGAAAAAGAATTTAAGGATTTTAGTCTGCTCGCAATTAATCTTCTTTGATAATATATTGAACATTAATGTTAATTCTTTATCGTGAGAATTTATATATTATTTTATTTTAAACAATACTTGAAAATAATTTAAATGTATAAATTAAATATTTAAGTTGATGAAAACACTTTAACGATCATATATTTTATAGTCTAACAGTGTTCTAAATCGATAATTAGTTGAATATATAGATAGCTGTATTTATGTAGTTAGTAATAAAAAAACAAATTTATCGAGATAAAAGTTCTACATATCCAAAATGAAGAGATTTTTACACCAAGACATTTCTAAAAACTTTTCTTATAACTGAATGATATTTTGTTAATGTTAACATTCTGCTAATATTTTTCATTAAGTTTACCGATGCAGTTAACAGTAGCGTATTTATATTCACTATCTAATATATTAAATAATTCATTTTGTTAATATCTTAACACAAGCGAATCTCAAAACATTGATTGTTTCTTGACAAGATGCATCATCGAAATCTTGACAAAATCTGTATGATCAGATCCCTGCTGTTACTCATGTAGCTAGCTGTTGCACTATAATGGAAAATAATGCATTATAATGGCAATAATTGCATGATAGTGGAACAACGGGTTACATAGAGTATATGCACTTATGATTTACTCAACCACGTTGTTTCATATATCTGTTACTACTTGTTTCCGAGTCTTTTTTGAAATCTAGTCATCCTCTCTATTTATATTCAGAAAAGCTTGACTCATTTGATTTAATACTTTATTCCATACAATAACGAAGAGAAAAGCATAGGAAACTGCAGTGTTGTTAGTAAATAAGGTTCATTTTTCTACTATTCATCGATAGATATGCCAATATAATCGAATTGGTTCATTTAATGTAGGAAAATCAACAGAAAGCAGAGAATAAATTTAGTAAAAAATCGACTTCAATCAAGAAAATATAAAAAGAAGTTTACGAACAATGAACATTTGTGTAAAAAATAGTATCGTAGAATATGCATTCAAAAATCCCGAGATCATCAACAAACACTTCGTAAACGGTGTTGCACGTGAATCAGAAAAAACTTCAATCAAAATTGAAAAAAGGATACTGCATGGGCCGAACGTAGATTTTATACTAAGAGGAAGAATGATATTTATGAAAGAGAAGAATTTCTTGATTCATTGATGCATCTTTTTGGCACACCCAATAGTTTATCGTACGTACGATTTGCTAATGATGAATTTTATTTTTGAATCTATATATTGATGAAATATTTATCTTTGTGTCTGTAGTTCATACTAACCATTGAATTAATTATTTCGATTGTTATTCAGCAAAAAGAACAATAAAAATGAATGCTAATTCTATTTAAAAAAACAAAAAATACAGTAAATTGTTTTTTATCGGTTTTTATATTTGTTCTTTTTCATATGAAATAGTGTCTCTTTAAAGTATAAACTACATTACGTTATTTAATAAATAATTAATTGTGTACATCGAAAGAGTGCCATTAATTTATTTTTTCTTGTATCTTTTACTTCAGCATCCCAAACTTGTGTTGTTTTTCCACCATGTGTTAAACGAGCTACACATGATATTACAGCTGGGGGTTTGACAGTTCCTAAGAAATTTGATTTCAATTCAATTGTAGTAAATAATTTTGCATTAGAAGGTATTGAATTAATACAACCATAACCGCAAGCAGTATCGGCAAAAGTAACAACAACACCAGCATGAAGATAACCATTGGGTGCCAAAAGTTCTTCGCCAATTTTAAGTTGACAAGAAACATAACCATGTTTTATAGATAAAATTTCCATACCAATTAAACCAGGAAATTTACCTTTACTACGATCATTCCAAGTTTGTATGAGAAGAAATTCTTCAACAGATATTTTCTTTGTTTTATCATCATCAGTTGAATTTGCAGATGTGGAACTAAAATTAAGAGACAGATTATAAGATAATAGATATTAAACATGTACTATTTCAGGTCAAAAGTACACGATAAACTGTTCGTATTAAAAACTTCGGAGTTCAACTAATATGCATTCGATAATAATTAGTTTAGAATTTTTTCGGATATTGAAATGATTTATGTATTAATAAAGTCAATGTTAAAACTTACTTGACAAGATAGTGTGCATTTTCTGGAAGATTAGAATTGATTGAAATTTGTTTAAAAACTGTTGGTATCTGTTGTTCTTTTTTATCACCATGATAATAAAATTGATGTTCTTGTCGATCAATAATTGATTTCAATTTTTTATTCGTTTGATAAGCTTCAATAACAGACGAATCACAAACATAATTTTTCGAGAATGATGATAACAAACGAGAAGATGTATGTTGAAAAATCGAAAGATTCTTATTGATTATGGACCGTAAAAACATATTTAAATATGGTTCACGATATCAATGAAAATAAACTATCTGGAAATCAAGATAAATGATTTTACTGCAATATAGATCATATATTTTATAGAAATCAATTTTTTTGCTGTGTCATAATGACTGACATACCGTTTCAATGAAATTGATTGGTAATTTTACACCATATAAATCTTTTCTATTAGTCATAACAGATATATATTGAATTTGTTACGAAAATCTAGAGACATCTATCGTTACAAGACGAGCGAACAGAATTTCGAATGTGTATTATATTTCATTCATGTACAGTTTTCTTAATGAAAAATCTCAATACGAATGATTTAAATACAGAATTCAATATGAATATTAATCATCATAGAACATTTTCAATGTGTTCTATAATCGAACGATAAATTTTTTCTTTTATATGATCATCTCCCATATGACCTTGATCGAATATAACTGCTTTCGCATTTAATAACTTCGCTAATTCATGTTGTTTTCTTGGTGATATTAATTTATCTTGACTGGATATTTGTACTGTTATTGGTATATGTGCATTACGTATTAATTGTACACCTGTATTTGTTAAATAATGACTACCAGCTGCTGATGATTGACAAGCACAAGCTTTTTGATTATCAAATGCCCACCATTGATCATATTCATTTAACCAAAGTGTTGCATATATTTCACCTGAAGTTTTTATAGTTTCTGGTGAAAATGCAGATGGAAGAAGTACATTACGAATCATATGTTCACGATCTTTTTTTATAAGTAATGGCATTAATTTTAACCAAAGATTTGGTCCAAATGACATTGGTCTTATATAAGTTCCACGTGATGTTACAACAAGATATAATGAACGAAGACGTTGTAAAGGAATTAAAAGTAATGCTAATTCTTGTGCGACCATTCCACCAAGACTTGCCCCGAAAACATGTACAAATGAATTTGTACCCCAAACTTGATTAATTAAAATTAATGCATCATTAGCAAGCATACGTGATGTTTGACGTATGAATTGTGTTGAAGTTGATTTACCAATACCTCGATGATCATAAGTTAAAATTTCAATAGATTTTTGACAAGAAGTAAAATAATTAATAATATATTGTACTTGTTCTTCGAAATGTCTCATTGTTGCAAATGCACCCATAATCATAATCATTTTAAAACTGTCTTGAGAAGATACATTAGGTGATGAACGTATTTCATAATATAATTTAACTTCAGGAGATATTGTAACATAATCTGAAGTTATTTTTATATTGTCTTGTGTCGTGATATCCATTGAATTTTAATAGTTTTAATTTATCTTGTATCCTACTTTTTTTTCTTGTTGATAAAATGATATCTAGAACATCATGCGTATATATTATCATCTATAGAAAGAAACAAAGTTTTTATTATGAGAAAAAATAAAATTTCATTGATAGACATGAAAATTTAAAGAGCTTGTTTTTATTTTTGATCAAATATCTCACAGAGATTCTTTTACTATCAAAAAAAAAGATTGATTGCAATGTATGTCATGATATATCTGTATGACTCAGCCTCTACGTCGGCAGTGTTATTCTTACGACAGAACGAAAGAAAAAAAAAGAAAAAAAGAAACGCCTAGGGGACACCCGGGATTGAACCAGGGACCTCTCGATCTGCAGTCGAATGCTCTACCACTGAGCTATATCCCCCATACCATGGAATATTATTATTATCAAATCATGGTAAAATTTAACATTAGTTTTCCATTCCAAATCCTTCGGACGATAATCTAATATTGTTATAATTATATATTAAGTACAATAATACATTATTATGCATAATTAATGTTATAAATAATATAAAAAAATGTTTAAATAATGCAAATCAATCAAAAAAATGTCAATAGCCTGAAGGATAGTTTAAGCTGTTTGTATGAAGTTATTATAATTTAATTTGATATTAATTTCAACTGAAAATATCTCAAATTATTATTATAAAAAAAGACTTATTTAACAGCAAAAAATAAGTTTTATTATGTATGGGAACTTGTTGCTGATTTTGTTCGTAATGTACCAGATGTTATCAATGGTCCCCATCCTTTTTGTTGTGAAAATGCATAACCCGATCTGAATACAATAAAAAGAAATAATGTTAGTATAATATTCATTTAAACAATACAATTACCCAGTTGATCGAACTGATTGTGGTCTTTGTCGCGGTTCTTGATCAGTTGGAATAACAGTTTCTTTTTTTTGAGGAATACAAAATTTTTGAATTAATCGAGCTTTATCAGTTTCATTTGGTATAAAACGTATACGAAAAAATCTAAATTAATTTTCTATATTATTTTAATTGAAATTTCATAGAGATTTACTCTCGACCGATAATAGGTAATAGAAGTATGACACATATAAGAAGAAGTGTAAACCAAAAAGTAACATTAGTCATGGCCACCTGTGCAATACCAACATAAGGATAGTTTATTTTAAATTTTAAACGTAATAATGTTGAATATATAACGAAATGAAAGATAAAATGAAGTATAATTGTACCAGATAAAATAAACATATAGATACCTGACCAATACCACATTTCAAGAGCATTCTCTAAATTAACAACAATTACTAATATAGTTGCTACCATAAAACCAAATGATTGTGTATCATTTAATGGTATACCAGATGATTCGGTATTTGATAATAAACATAAATAAGAGAAGAAAAATATTATACAAGATGTTATAAGACCATGTAAAGCACATTCAGCAAAGATTTTTCTATTAAAAAGCTGATCTTTTTGACCAATGATATATCTAAATTGATATCATGATTTATAATTTTGATTAAAATTAACTTACAAATGAGGTCTACTAATCGAATGACTTGCACTGATATCCTAAATAGAGAATAATCTTTTTGTTTTCATAAAATTCAACGAAAAATAATATACTTGGTCATGAACACCTAATGTTACAACAGGAAAAGTTGTAAAGAATATATTATAAAGGGTAACAAAGAATGAATCAAATATTGTCTATTTTAGATAATATATATATATATATATGAAATATTTTGTTTAAATAAAGATTTTACTTGAGCTGAAAATCCACAGTAAAAAGCAAACCAAAATTGACAAAAAGTAAATGCGAAATTTTTGTAGAAAAAATAACGTAAAAATTTTGATATACGTATATAAGACCAACGGCCATGAACAAATAACAATCGTTCAAGAAACCGAAATTGACCAATACTATAATCACTAGCTAAAACTGCTTGACGACCTTCTTGTCCACTGATTCCAATACCGATATGTGCTTCTATACAAAACGACAAATATATTTTTAATTGCCAAAAACATCGTACAACTTACTTTGTATCATCGAAACATCATTAGCACCATCTCCAATAGCTAATGTAATTACTTTATCATTTTTTCTAATTAATTCTACTATTTGTGCTTTTTGTAAAGGTGTTACACGACAACATATAACTGTTTTACACATTGTAGAAAGTTCAAGAAAGCTCATTTTTAATTCATTTGATAATGCATGAATTAATGCTGTTCCAGTTATTAATAAACTAAAGCCTTGAAAATGATGTTCGGAATTTATTTTTTGTAGGGGAATATTGAAATTCTTCCACTGAAGTCGTTTATTTCGATCGTCGATATGAATATTATATAATTGTTCGATTTTTTCAATTAATTCATTTCGAAATTTGTTTAATGCAAATGTTACATCTGCTTGTGTTTCTTCATCAATTCTTTTTATTATCATATTGTTTTTTAAAAGTCGACAAGAAAAACCAACATTTTCGGCAGTTTCTAAAGAATAAATTTTTTTTTAAAAACAACAAGAAATTATTTACCAATTTTATCTCCAGTTAACATCCAAATATTTATACCAGCTTGTGTTAATTTTTCAATACATTCTGGTACACCATCTTGAAGTTTATCTTCAATAGCAGTCATACCAAGTAATTTCATATTTATTTCAATTTCTTCATATAAGTCATTCATTTGTTCTTCACGTTGTTGCATACTTGTACTAAATTTAATAGAAAAAAAGCTTCATTTTTGATTCTAATAAATAATATTTACGTTGCGTTTTTCAATTTATTTGCCCATTTTTTATAATCTTTTTCATTTAATTCTTTCCAAGCTAAACATAATGTACGTAAACCTTCACTAGCTACTTTCTAAAGAATTGATATTATAAATAGAAATTCTCAAAAACAAGTCTGTATACGTACATGTAAATGTTCATCAGTTAATGTCATTATATCATTCTCCAATGGATCTAATCTTTCTTTGATAGTTGAATCAGCACCTTTGCAATATAAAATGATTTTACCATGTTTTCTTACTATAATCTATAAAGGGAAAACAAGATTTATTCAATAGAAAAGTTATTAAACATACTTACAGACATACGCTTTCGATAATTATTGAAATCGAGAATGTGTAATAGATCATAGATTTCAGTTTGATTTCGAAAACGAACTGTAATATTACTTTGTGTACGACTCTAAATAGATTAGAGTATAATTGAAGAATTAGGATATTAATAGAATTACAAGAAATTCAAAACCAAATGAACGTGCAGCTGTTACTAATGCATTTTCATCAGGTGATTGAGCTTGATAAATAATTTTTCCATTTTTTTCTTCACTTATAACTGTATGACATAATGCCAATAAAGTAAAAAAATGATTAATCTCATTATTATCATTATTTTCTATTGCATCAATTAATATTTGATCATACCAAATAAAATTATTATTTTCTAATTCAGTAGTAATTCGCGTATTGTGTCTATTCTCATTTATTATATCTCCATATAATTTACCTCGAATAGAACATTTTTTGAATGTCATAATATTCTAAAAACTAAAGAGATTTTGTTCATTTGTAATTTAATAATATCTAAGGAAAATATTTATGATTAGACTAGTCATATTTGTTTATAAACATTCTACATCATTCTCTTTCAAAGTCAGAAAGATTAATTCAATAGTTTTTGATTCAAATACCTGAGTTAACGTTCCTGTTTTATCAGAGAAAATATATTCAATTTGACCTAATTCTTCACTTAATGATGCTGTATGTGATTGAGCTTGACTATTATTTGGTTCATAATACATTTGATTATCCCAATCAATCCATTTCGCTTGAAAAAGACGAATAATTTCTATACTGATATAAAGAGATGATGGTATGACAGTATTTAATAATATAATATATGAAAAAAATATAAGTGCAGCTATTTGAATAGCACCAGTCCGTGAATCTAATGAAACATACGATTCCCATGGTAAATAAATACGAAATTTTGAACCACTATTATATTCCCAAAATCCATTACAAATTGCCAATATAGAACAGGTTAAAATTAAAAAAATAAAAATCTACTAAAAAATAAAAATACAAACAGAAAAAATTAATTTACTCCTATGAGAATTTTATTTAGCCAATGATCAATTTTCGTTCGTTTAAATTTTGGTTTACCACTATTTTGCATTAATTTTGTATCTTGACCGGCATAACAAACAACTAATTATAATTATATATAGATAAAAACATTACATTTTATTCAAATCAATGATTTACTTACTTCCAAAAGCCCACTGTGTATTTCTTAGTCGAGTTCCACGCAATAGAATATTATCATTTCCTAATGCATATGTTTGACTATTCCATATTAACTTACCTTCAAATCGAAGAAGATTATTGTTAGGTTGTTCACATTCAATCTCAGCTTAAAATAGAAATAAATAAATAAGTAAATGTAGGTGCGAAACCAGATAGTGGCCTAATCCGCACAACTTTTTTCTAGTTACGCTATTAAATAAATGGTTTTCTTACCATTAAAATTCGATAATTCTGTTAAATTATCTTGAAGATAAACTGTTTCTTTGAGTGCTTGTCGAGGTTTTAGATTCGATTCACTTAGAAAAATAAACTTTACATTTTATTTTATTTCTTCTATATATTACCCATCCAAATCAGTAGTTTCAATTAAACATAATCCATTCGGTTCACTGCTTGAAATTAATATCATATCAGCCTAATAAACATCAAAGGTAATGACATAAATTCCATAAAAATAATTCTTACAGGAATAAAATCATTATTATGAATTCGTATTATATCTCCCACTTGAATTTCTCTCCAATATTTGTCAATCAATTGTTTATTAATTAAAATTTCCGTTCGTCGATTATTTATTTGTTTATCACTTCGATACCTTGCCTATAGATATTATATTAATAAGAATTTTATAAAACTGTAAAGAAACAAACGATATCATCAACAGCATCTTTGATTGCTGTAACTGTCAATACGAAAATTAATGAAAATAAAGTACTAATTGGTTGCAGTGAACTAATTTGTGGAATGTATAATAAAATAAGAAGAAATACAAAATAAACATTAGCAAGTCGACGAAATTGTTCAAAAAGATTTTTTGGTAGAAATGTTATTACATTATATTTTGTAGTTGAAATTCGATTATTCTTAGAAGGAAAAAAAGAATATCAATAAATTTCAATTTAATTATATACATTTTATTATTTCTTACTCGAAATTTCTTCGATGTATTGTATATAGAATCATTAATTTTTATTACTCGATTTGATGCTGAAATTTTTATAATTAATAATCTTGTATAATCAATAAGATAAAATTACCTGCAGCTTTGCTTTTTTTACAACAAAATAATCGTCGCATGATCAAAACAATCAATGTATAATAAGTTTAGTAGTTGATCTTATTCGAGACATCATATTTCTAAAAAGAATGTTTAAATTTTGTAGATATTTACGTATCATCTTAAAGATAAGCACTATAAAAAGGGTTATCATAGGATTGAAGGGTAAAGTAAGTCAATATAAATCAAAGTACTTCAATCATATTTTTGTATCAAATTCATCCTTACAGTCGCAACTGTGACCAGCTGTTAATGTACATACATAAAGTGTATTAATCGTACTCAATAAAAAAAATCTTGTTAAATATTATTGAAAATTTATCTTTAGTTACAGTAAATAGGTACTTATTCTTTGTGTGGCATGTCAGCAGGTAAAAATAATGGATATACGTTACCAATATGTGTTCTGTTGATAAAATAATATGTTGATGTATTTTATGGCTCTGTTTTGTAATCTTCATACACTACAATTGACGACTGTTATCAACTCTTTGTTTTTATCCATAGAATTGTGTATATAAAAGTACATGTAAAACATTTTTTCCTTTTATCTTTGTAGATCTACAATTATAACGAAAGATGAAAAGTTTTGAGACTTCATTATTGTCTTTATTCTGTTATCAAGTACCTAATAGTACGAGTTTAATGATAATTAAATCAATTTTTCTGATTGATAAAGTAATCGACGGTGTAAAATATTTGTGTTAAGTTTGCTTTTAATCTATTACTAATGTAAAAATATAACTAAGTTTTTGAATTTTCATGTTTCGAAATTAATAAAAAAAATATTAAACATTATTTCTTCGTAAAGTTAATTTTTTCTAAAACATAGAATCATGTCTCTTTCAAATCAGTTTATTTTAACTGCGTGTTAGACGAAATTTTTGTTAACTACATACCTATAACAAGAGAACCACATAAACGTATTCTGAGATACAATTTTACAACGATTTAAATTATATAGTAGCTATGCGTTTTATTTAAAAGGTTAACTGAATGAGAGAAGGAAAAATATCGAAGATTCTACATATCTAAAGCCTTATTTTAATTAACGAAATGTTCAATAAAAAAAAGCATTTCTTTTGAGAATCGTTGCTTACAATGAGTATGAAACGGTGAAAACAAATAACAAGCTTATTCAATTCAGAAGAAAACAAGCACGTGTCTTTTCAAATAAAAAATAATTTCGTCGTTTCGCGCCTAACTATAAATAAATTTTGCCTTTTATTAATCACATGTATATTCTATTTAATTAACTCATATTGAAATAAAATAAGAGAAAATATAAATTATTTCTATTAGAAATATTATATATACATAATTGTTTCTAAAAGAAAATCTATTTTACATTTCAAATGATATAAAACTTAAAAATAAGTATCAATAATAATAGAATGTTCAATATATTAAAATACACATGTATATATTTTTCATATATGACTTAATATAATTTCTAACATGAAAAATGTATTTTAACCTTGCCATTTTTAAAATAAAAATATAGAGAGTACCCAGTATCTATTTATCGAAGGTTAACAGGAAAGAAAAAATATGATGAAAGAAATGATAAATCATTCAAACTGTCATAATATGAAAATAAACAACAACATGTCAAATAAAAATCAAAGATGAATATAATAGATTTATTCATTGCAATGAATAATAATATTGTAGAATATCTCGTATTTATTTTTTTCTTTAGTGTTGTAACATATTTTCAATTTGAACAAAATACAGTAATATTCTATAGTAGATGTTCATTATTTTTCTTATGTCAATCATCATTTATTATTCTCTTTTATATAAATAGATATAACAAGAGCACTAAAAATTAAATATATTTGACTATAATACGAATAATACATAATAGGTGAAGTAAAAGCATTAATATGAATGCATTACTGGTCGATAGAAAATATGTGTAACTAATGAGTAATGTACTTTTATTTGAATAAAATATTTAATAGATGATAGTTAGTCAAAATTTCCTTTGATAGAAATTTTGTTTTTAAAAAAGTATAAGGACTATTTAGATCTATAGAGATATATAATAAGTGTTGAATAACATTATTCTAAAGATGATAATTAAGATTGATAATTAGAAGTGTAATAAGACTAAAATTGTGATGTTAGTATAAATATTATTCATTTGACTTTTCTGTAGAATATTTTCATAAAAAAAATTTTCGACAAAAAGAATATTCATTTTTTCATTCAGATTTTTTTAAGTAAATAAATTGTATCATACGTGCTTATATCTAGAGAATGTTTTTAAGCATCAACATGAACGGCATGCTTTTACAAGAAAAATTTCTTATTTTATTCAATCGCATAAAAGAATTTGCTTCATGGTTGGATAAACATGAATATTTCACCTTCGATTAATATGAAATTTTTTGCGTGGTTTTATATATTTCTTTTTTCATAAACTAAATACATTTTATAATTGGTTAATATTATAAATATGTATTTTTTTTCTAATATTTTTCTGATATATTATACATAAACATTGAGATATATTGTATAATAACTTACTACCTTTTCTGTTGTACTTTTTTCTTTCTTTCGTTTTATATATCTGTTATACGTATGTACTTTTAATACTTACTTGTCGACGCCCTTCTCGAACGAATATTGTTAGTGAATAAGAAAAATTATTATTGTATATCTTCTTATTATATTTATTATTTTAAACAAAGGGAAGAAGCTTCTTGAATCCTTTTCTAGTTTGTTTCTCTCTCCTATAAATACTTCATTTTTTCAATAAGTGCATGATTACCATGTTAAATATCGTCGTTTATCTAATTAGATAGTAAGGCGAATATTAAATAAGAAAATAAATATGATTAATTAACAGACTAATATTATGATTATAAAATGAGAAAAATATGCAATAATTTGTATCAGTTTGATTTGATTTGTATATTTCTATTATTAAAAAAGTGAATTTAGCACTTTTAACTCTGTTATAAATTATTTGTCTTGTTTTTGGCTCCAAAGATAAATTACAAATCTTCAGAAAATGATATTTTTATTATAGATTAAAATGACTTCTATAGACATTGAGGTATTACCATCAGAACATCAAAATCAACATTCTGTCGAAACTATTGCAAATATTCTTCCCAAAACCATTAGAACTCCATCAAAGAAGTATGTTTGATTTATTTTGTTTTCATTCATAATTGACATTTAACATCATTAGACTAAAGCATCAATCGAATTTCAAGAAAATTGTCTTCATGTTTGCTATGTTTCTTTCATTTTCATTTAAAATTAATATTTATTATCATTAGACTAAGGTATCATCTGTATCAGCCGAATTCCAAGACACTCATCTTCATGCTTGCTATGTTTACATGCATATCAATGATGATTAGCATTCTTACAGTTTATTTTTCATCAACAAAGCCATTAGGTATTATATACATCTCTCATACTCATCCAAGCATATTTACTTACATTCTTGTCATAGAAGAAAGCTTTTGTTATAGAAATAAAATATTTTTATAGCTCTATAATTAAATTTATTTAGGTACAACATGTACATTTATTTTGAAATCAGAAGCTAGCAGTTTAATCATCAGTGATTCTCATCCGCATTCTATTGCTGTTGCTGATTTTAACAATGATCATCTTCCTGATATTGCTGTTCCTAATTCTGGTACAAATAGTTTAGGAATATTTCTTCGACAGAACAACACTACATTCAGAGATCAAATCACGTATTCAACTGGTTCCAATTCACTTCCATATGCTGTCTGTGTTGGTGATTTCAATCATGATCAGCAAATAGATATAGCTGTAGCTAATTATGGTACTAATAATATTGGTATTTTTCTCGCAAAAGGAAATGGTGCATTCATGCCACAAATCACTTTTTCTACTGGCTCATCTCGACCATTATGGATTGCTGTTGGTGATATGGACAATGATAAACAACTCGATATAGTCGTTGCAAATTATGGTACTAATGATATAGGCATTCTTTTTGGAGATGGTCTTGGAAATTTTGGAAAGCAAAAAACATTTTCAACTGGTTATGATTCTATTCCATATTCACTTGCTATTTCTGATCTTAACAATGATGAGAAACTTGATATTATTGTTGCAAATCATGGCACTGACAATGTTGGTATATTTTTAGGACATGGAACTGGTATATTTGAAAGCCAGTTCATAATTAGTACTGGATATAAATCTCAACCTTATTCAGTTGCTGTTGATGATTTAAATAATGATACTTATATGGATATTGTAGTTGCTTGTTCTGGTTTAAATACAATTGATGTCCTCTTAGGCTTTGGAAATGGAAGTTTCACAATACCATACAAATATTCAACTGATAATAATTCATTTCCATTATCGCTAGTAATTGGTGATTTTGATAATGATAATCAACTTGATATTGCTGTAGCAAACTATCAGGGTGAAAGTGTGGGTATATTTTTTGGGTATGGAAATGGATTTTTTAGAGATCAAATGATATTCTTCAGTGTTAGCTACAATTTTAATTTATATTCTATTGCTGCTGGTGATTTCAATGGTGACAATCGATTAGATATTGCTGTCGTTAATTATGATTACAACTATGTTGATATCATTCTTACATATCGAAATTATACTTTCTTAAGTCAAAATACCTATTCAACAGGCACTCAAAGTTATCCGGGATCAGTGGTTGTTGCTGACTTTAATAATGATAAGCTACTAGATATTGCCGTCGCCAATGCTGGAACAAACAATATTGGTATATTTCTTGGATATGGTAATAATACTTTCTCAACTGAAATAACTTATTCAACTAGTAATTATTCTAAACCGAATTCAATCACTATTGGTGATTTTAATAACGATAAACAAGTAGATATTATCGTCACCAATTCTGGAACAAATAATATTGGTATATTTCTTAGTTATGGAAATGGTACTTTCTCAAATCAAACAACCTATTCGACTGGCAACGGCTCAACACCACAAGATGCTGCTGTCGGTGATTTTAATAATGATGGACAATTAGACGTTGTCGTTGCCAACTATTGGGGTTTTAATATAGGTATATTTCTGGGATATGGGAATGGTACTTTTTCCACCCAACAGATCTATCCAACTGGGAACCTATCTAGACCTCGATCTGTTGCTATTGGTGATTTCAATAATGACAGTCGATTAGATATAGCTGTCGCCAATTATGGAGGTTACAATGTGGGAGTATTTCTTGGATATGGCAATGGTGCTTTTGCAGATCAAATCCCTTATTTGGCTCCAATTGGTACTGGTCCGTATGATATTACTATCGGTGATCTGAATAATGATGATCACCAAGATATAATCATTACTCTCTTAACCGGTCAAAGTATTCTTATTTTCTTTGGATACGGTAATGGAACATTTGTCCAAGGAAATATATATTCTACTGGTAGTGGTTCTCAACCATTATCAATTACTGTTGGTGACTTAAACAATGACAATCAACTAGACATTATCGTAGCTAATTGTCTTACTGACAATGTCGTTGTATTTTTTGGAGAAGGTAGCGGAACGTTTCCTGTTCAAAGAACTTATTTAACTGGTAACAATTCTTGCCCAAGTTGGATCGTTCTTGATGACATCAGTAATGACAACATTCTTGATATTGTCGTTGCTGATAATGGCACGAATATGATAGGTATTTTTCTTGGATCTACTTATATGAATGGTATACTTGAAAATACATATTCAACTGGATCTTCTCCACATCCACATGGTTTAGCTCTTGGTGATTTCAATCATGATGGTCATTTAGATATTGTCATAGCAAATTATGTTTCAAGTAATGTAGGAGTACTTTTAGGAAATGTCAATGGAACATTTCCATTGCAAACAGTATTTTCTACTGGTGACTTATCTTTTCCAACTTCAGTTGCCGTCGATGATCTAAATAATGATAATGAACTAGATATTATTGTGGCTATTTCTGCAACTGAAAATGTCGGCATTCTTTTTGGCTATGGAAATGGTAGTTTCACAAATTTAAATATGTATTCAACTGGAATTGGTTCTATTCCACAAGCAGTAACTACTGGTGATTTCAACAATGATAAGAAACTTGATATTGTTGTTATTGATTCTGGCACTGATAGGATAGTAACACTTATCAAATACGATACTGGAAGTTTTCGAAAGCAAATAACATACTCAACAGGCACAGGTTCAACTCCGCGAGCAGTAGCTGCTGCTGATTTAAACAACGATGGCTGGCTAGATTTCATGTCAGCCACTTCTGACAATGTGGGTGTTTTTCTAGGACTGGGAAATGGTACGTTTTCCAGTCAAAAGACATATTCGACTGGGATCAATTCGGTGACACTTGCGCTTACTATTACTGATCTCAACAATGACAGTTATTTGGATATCGTTGTCGCCAATACATTTACTGACAATGTAGGAATTTTTTTTGGATATGGTAATGGTGCATTTACAAATCAGACGACTTTTTATACTGGTACTAATTCTGGTCCAGTCGCAGTCATTAGTGCAGATTTCAACAATGATAGTCGATTAGATATTGCCGTCGCTCTTCAATTCTCTGGTGAAATGGGTGTTTTGTTAGGACACGGCAATAATACTTTTTCTGATGTAGTTATTTACTCAATTGACAGTAATGCTGGTCCAACATCAATCGCTACCGGTGATTTTAACAACGACAATCGATTAGATATCGTCGTGTCCAATTTTCTTCTTGGCAGTATAAGTATTTTTTATGGGAATGGTAACGGTACTTTTTCCAATCTAACTAGCTATACAACTGGCAGTGGTTCACAGCCAGGATCTGTCATCGTCAGTGACTTAAATAGTGATACTATATTAGACATTGCAGTTGCCAATGTGGGTAAAGACAATATCGGTGTGTTTTTTGGAAATGTGAATCATAGTTTTTATGATCAAATAACTTTTTCAACTGGTATTGGTTCTGCTCCGAATGCATTAGTCGTCGAGGATTTTAATAATGATAACCAACTAGATATCGCCTTTGCCAATTATGGTACCAATTATTTAGGTGTTCTTCTTGGTTGTATTAATGGCACTTTTTTTGATCTGTTAACCTATTCAACTGGTGATAATTCTCAGCCATATTTTCTTGCTGTTGGTGATTTCAACAATGACAAACGTCTCGATATTGTCGTTGCCAATTCTAATACGGATAATATAGGTATGTTTTTTGGATATGTTAACGAAGATTTTCTAAATGCACCAGCTTATTCGACTGGATTTTCTTCTCAAGTCACTTCCATAGCTGTTGGAGATTTTAACAATGACACTCGATTAGATGTTGTTATCACCAATAATGCTACGAACAATGTTAAAGTTATATTTGGATCAGGCTATGGTACTTTTCTCTATGATATAACATATTCAACTGGTAATGCTTCTCAACCATGTTCTGTTAGTGTTGCTGATTTAAATAATGATAATCGATTAGATTTTGTCGTTGCAAATTCTGGTATTAATAGTATCAGTATTTTTCTTAGCAATGGTAGTGATACATTTTCAAATCAAATAACTTATTCTACTGGTATTGGTTCTCAACCATATTCAGTTGTTATTCTCGATTTTAATAATGATACTCGATTAGATATTGCTGTTGCTAGTTATGGAACTAGTCATATCGGTGTATATTTCGGTTATGGCAATGGAAGTTTTATGAATCAACAGATATTCTCTAGTGGATTTAATTCACATCCATTTGCACTTGCTGTTGGTGATATAGACAATAATCATTTACCTGATATTATTGCAACTAATAATGGATATGGTAATATAGATGTTCTTACGAAAACTTGCTAACATGACATTTTTCATTTATTTCTTTGCTTTTTTTTCACTATATAATGTCTTTTCAATAGTTCTTCTAATATTCTTTCTGTAGTTTGAAACTAACTTTTTTTTCATAATACATTTTTACGAAAACAATCTATTCATTTCAAAATGATTATTTTACGTAGAACATAATAACAAGTATGAGATATATCTTTGATCATTTGAGAAGTATTACAATAAAATATATATTATCAGATTTTGTATAGATTAACAAATTTTTATTCAACATAATTAAATGATCGAATCAGAAAACACGAATAAAAATAAAATATACACACCTGTTAGTCGAAAATAATTTGTATAGATATTTCTTTCCAAGATCTTCTTCAATCTTAACTTCAAAATAAGAGAACTTTTAATTCATAACATAAGGATATTGAAGTATGTAACTATATTGCAAAGATATAATTATTGATAATGAAAAGAAAAAAAATCATTCTTACATAATGATTAGAACAATAAACTAGATAGAATTCTAGTTTTATTGAATTGCGAAATGCGATATGGACGTAGCACTACGATAAAAATGACAGTATTGAGATTAGGAAATATATATACATGTTATATAAAAGAATTTAATTATAAATATTTTTCAAAGGTCAAAATAATTTATTCGATTTAGAAAAAATTCCTGGAATTAGACAGATTATATTTTTATTTGACAAATCCGATTTTAATAATAGAGCAATTTCTATCGATTAGATTTAGAAAAAAACTGTTTGATCTTTATTCATTTATGTGCGTCACGGAATCATAGTTCCATGATAATCAAAGCAAAAGCAAAAGTAACTCGTTAAAATTTTTACGGATTCATCCACTGTTCCTATCTGGAAATATCAACCATATTCGTACGCACAATATCATTTGCATTCACACTCTTTCAGATTTTGCTTCATTAAATAACGTTTTATGAAAACATAATCATTTTCAAAGCACATCAACTATTGTTACATTAAAATCTAATTTTGGATAAAAATATTAATAGCAATCAAGTTCAAAGATTATCATATCTATAAAAATAGAATGTATTCAAATATCTTTATATTAATTAACTCTCATATAACACACACACGACGATATATGAAACTCCCCAGCAATCATTAGAACAATGAGAATAAAACAAAACATCTACCATAAGAGTACCTAATGCCTTTAGTTGCAATGCATATTTATTGATTATTTTTTCAAACTGTAATGCCTTAGATTTTTTTTTCCAAAAGATTCTTTTACACAACGATATACACAAATTAACATATTTTATTATGAATATTTAATATTTTACTGTAATATTTACATCAAGTTGACGTAGTTATGTGTCACTTCTCTTCTTTTAATTCTCACTTCTACTCAACACACCCACGCAATGAACTCATATATTATTCCTACGTCTTCTTTTCGATGAAAGTCATGAAAAGCTATTCTATATTTATCTACAAGAAAAAAATAAAGAGTACAAATTCTATGAACTCGATTTCATGATAATATAAGATAGTGTAAATTATAATTAAATTAAATTAGAGTAGACCTATATAATTTAATTATAAAGAAAAATTCGCTTGAAAATTTACATTCAATTATAAAATATTCCATTAAATAGACAGGAAGCTTTTAAAGTCTTTTTGCTTATTATTTATTCGAAAAAATAAATAAATATTAAAGGGTAAACAAAAATTCATTCAATGTTTGTAAACATCACTTGACAATATATCGATCACCGATTTCAATAACTAAATTATTTTAATATAGAATTAGCTTCATTACGTGATCTATCATCTAATGGTTTAGCTTTTATAACACGACATTGCAGCCATTCAACGATTCATAATTTTAACAAATTTTGTTAATTTTCTTTCCCCGTCGATTATTCATCAATGTTTCTATTGTTGTTCGTGTTATATTTGATAAATCTAATTCATACGTTGTTCACGTGATATACCAGGATTAAAGACGATCTAATTTTTTTGATAATCATTATCGATTTGTTCAAGTTAGTTTTGTTTTGATGCATAACGTCCTTGTAAACCAAACACAGGAATTAGTGGAGTAACAAATGATGATGAAGATTTTGATGTTTGAAATAATGAATGACTCGTACTAAAAGAACGATTTAATTGTGTACGAAGAATAACTAATCGGCTTGACATCATTTGAATAAAAAATAATAAGGAAGAAGAAGAAAAAATAAGACTATATAGTTTTTGATTGGTTGAAATCAAACCTCTATTATTATCATGTCGCTTTTTATTATTGACGTCAAAGTAAAATATCAAGAGTTCTTTTTCTCTCGAGTAAATCCTATGGAGGAGTTTTATTTCTTATTATAGATTTTTGTTTTTTTTTGTTATTTTCAATAAAAATATGTCGACGTCTAAGCCCGTCGAATGGGTTACAGCATTAATTGAACGATTTCAAGATCAAGTAAAATAAAAATAGAAATTTTTAATTTGGATTTTTCTATAAATTATTTTAGTTACCAATTAAATGTGGAGAATTAACAAATCAAATGCGTTTAAATTTAGAACAAAATAAAGAATGTCTTATTGCATTGAGTCGATTTAAATTTTCACTTGTTATTAATGGATTAACAGATATATTGAAAACAATTGATACGACTGTAAACTATTTTATTTTTTCATAAAACTTTTATTTTTTATTTTTCTTATAGAGATTTATTGGTTATGATCATGAAAAAAATATTTCTGAATCGTATTTAATTGTACTTGATGCTGTTGAACAATGTTTAGCAACTGTAAATAAAAATTGAAATTTTATTTTTATTTATTTATTTTTCTTCTGATTTATAGACGAAAGATTTAAGTACAAGTCGTTTGGATGAAGCAATTTATGTTAAAAAATTATTACCTGTTGTTTGTAAAGTAAGAAGAAGAAAAAAATGAATTTAAATCGATAATAGATTTCTTATTGTCTTCTATTTAGTTATTAAATGTACCCGGTGATGGAATAACAGTACAACATGTTCGACAATTAGCTTCGAATGTATTATTTGCATTAAGTGTGAATAATTTCAGTATACTCTTTAGTAAAGTAGTTTCAAGGTATACCTTCACATAATTTTTTTCTTCTTAAAAGTTATATTTATATTCATATTTAGAAAAGTTTTAGTTTCTATAAAGGTAAAAGAATAAATAAATAAAAAAACACAACTAAAATTTTGCTACTAAATTAATTCTACTAATAATCATCATAATTGTTTGATTTTGTTATTATATATTTTGTTTTTAAAATTTTAGGCTCGAATGTTTAATTGCATCCGGTGATGAAACGTGCGAAGCCGGTGATCTTGATCTTATTCAACATATGAATGTTGATATGCTTAAATTAACAAGACTTCTTAATGGTAAAGATAAAAAAAAAAAGTTTTTTTTTCAATTAAAATTTATTTCATATTTATCTTACAGAGGAAGTACAAAAATGGAAATTACTTAAGAAAACTCATCATACAGAATTAGTTAAAAGTGTTGAAAAAGTAAAATAAAATTTTTATTAGACAAAATAAACTAAATTTCTTTTTTAGGCTATTTGGAATTGGTTAGATACATATCCAGAAGAATTTACTGATTTACAAAAAAGACCAAATGCAGAATTAAGTGGTAAGAAATATTTTCAATAAAAAGTTACATTTAATTCAAAATTGATTCAATGATTTATTTAGATAATTGTGAAAAATTATTTGAATTACTTGATTCAATCGGTGGTGAAGGAAATCGTCGTAAAGCTCAATATGCTTGGCCATTACAAATGATGTTATTAGTTTTATGTCCAATAATTCTTGAAGAATTAGTTTATGCATTAGAAAAAGGTGGTCCTTGTTCAGCTGAACATTTACGTAAAAGAAATTTTGTTGATGGAGTAAAACGTCAATTACATACTCATGTGTTAGGTAAACAACATTCAACTGGTGGATTAGAATCAGCTGCTGTTGTTACATTTGTTAAATTATGTAAAGCAGCAACATATATTAATATGAGAGATTCAAATAATGTTTTATTTGTTATGGTACAATCCGTAATGGGTGATTTAAAACAAATTTTATTTAATCCATTAAAACCATTTCCACGTGGTCAAGATAAAGTTAATGTTGATTTAGAATTAATGATTGAATTTTTTCTTGCTTGCCTTCGATTAAGTCCACATAATAATGAAGTTTTAAAAGTTTGTTTAAATTTATCATCACCAGCTATGTTTCATTATGTACTTGTTAAAGCACTTTATCGTATAATAACACAAAAACGTTTAGCATGGTGGCCACAAATTGATATTATTTATTCACGTGCTGGTGAATTAAGAAATATGTTTACAGATACATTAAATAAAGTTTCACAATCATCAGCATTTGTATCAACACCATTAAGAATATCAGGTATTACAGGTGTTAGTATAAGAGATATTTTATTTAGTCCATCTCAGCTTGGTTCAAAATATTCACATGCATTCAAATCAAAAACATCAGATCGTTTAGCTTATGATGATGGACCAAATAATCGTGAATTACTTTTATGGATTGTACGTTTAATCATTGTTGATCCATATTTAATGTTACATAATCCAAATAAACTTGATCATGAAACACAAATGTCAACATTTGAATTAATTAATGGTCTTGTATCACTTGTTCATGATACATCAATGATGCCTGATGTTGCACATGCAGCAATGGAATCTTTATTAGTTTTACATGAAACACGAAATATTGAATTATGGAATCCTGAAGCATCTATAAATACATTTTGGTCAATATCAAGTCAAGTACTTTTTTCAATTTCACAAAAATTAGTTTTACATCAAATCTATGAATATACATCTGTATTACGTTGGTTAAGAGAAATTCTTGTTTTACGTAATGCTTTTCTTTTTCATCATAAAGATAATGCTTATCTTGGTTCAAATATTCCAATGGCTAAACATGCACATACAAAATTAGAAATTGTTTTTTTTATTTATCTATGGTCAATTGATCCTGAAGCTGTTAAAATCGCCATGTCATGTTTTGCTTTATTTGCTTATGAAGCGGATATTCGTTTTGGTTTTGATGAAACAGCTGTATTAGCACTTTTACCTAATTATAATATTTATATGGAATTATCAGCAGCATCAACAACATTAGTTACAACAGGAAGAAATGCATTACAAAAAAAAATTCTTTTATTATTAAGACGTATTGAATATGCTACACCTGGAAATAAACAAGCGTGGTATGATACATTTGTTAGTCAACAACATTTAGCAAAATTTTTAGCTATTTATCCAAAACGTGTTGATGATTTGAATAGTGGAGGATCAACAGCAAGTTCAACATCAGTTAGTGGAAGTGAAACAAGTATTATAACTGGTAGTGGTTATTCAAAAATTAGTAAACGAAGAGCTGGTGTTCATTCAAGTGAACATGAAATTGAAGTTTGTTATTTTGAATAGGAAAAAGAAATTTTTCATTAAATAATTTTAGGATGTTTTTAATGAATGGGCAAATATGACTGGATTTTTATGTGCACTTGGAAGTGTATGGTTACCAATTAAAAATCGACCAGGGTTAGTTAAATTGAAAATAATAATTTACTGAATGATAGATAAGCAACAATGTATGTGGATAAGAAATAGAATCAAACTGATATGATTAGATTTGTAGTGTCACAATAAGCTTTCATACATACTTATGATCGTTTTACCAATCATATACGAAATAATTTTCAAGTCAAAAGAAGGCAACTTAATTCAATAGAATCGACTATTCATATTTGAGAAATGATAAAAAATGCTTTTTTTCCTTCTTCTAGTCAACATGGAATACCTGCTGATACTCGACGAACTTCAATGGAACCAGTTAGTTCTGATCTTCATTATTGTCCAGTAACACAGTAAGTTTTTCTTTTTAATTTTTTCAAAATGAACTAATTTGAATGCGTAGATTTATTGGTGATTGTTTAAAATATTTGGTTTGTCAAAATGAAAAATTTGGTATACAAATTCAACGTCATATTCAAGATTTATTAGGTCATGAACTAAATCCATTATGTTACCCAATATTATTTGATCAAATTAAAATTCAAGTTGATAAATTTTTTGATGCTAATGGTCAAGTTATATGTTCAGAACAAAATACACAATTTATTGATAATGTTATTGTTATAATGCGTTCTGTATTTGAAATGAAAGCTCAACAAGCTGCACAAAATTCATTAGAAGGACCAACAGCAACGACTGGTTCATCAAATACATTAGGTGTTTCAGGTAATAATGCTGGTTCATCACCATCGGTTGTTGGTGGTTCATCAAATGATTCAAGTTCAAATTCAACAAATGGAAGTGGACGTGGTGGACCACAACAAACAAGTGAAAATCCATTAGCAAATGTTATAAGTTTAGAACAACTTGTTTTAAATATTGTTCGTTATGCACGACATTTGGATACAAGTGTTGGTGCTGTTGCTATACGTATACGTGTTTGTCAATTAGTTGAATCGATGATGAAAAGACGTGATGATTTATCATTTCGACAAGAAATTAAATTTCGAAATAAACTTGTAGAATATTTAACTGATTGGATTATGGGAAATTCACATCAATTTAATCAAGTAAAATCAAAAAACGAATTTTAAAATTATTATTATTTTTATTTTGTTTTAGGTACATGCATTAGGACAATCAGCAGCCGGTGTTGGTGTTGGTAGTGGTGTTAATGTAACAACATCTCAATTAGTTGTTGATCAATATCAATATTTAACGCGTGAATTAGATCAAGCATCAATGGAAGCTGTTGCTTCATTACTTCATTCACTTCCATTACAACCTGAAGAAAGTGATCGAGGAGATTTAATGGAAGCTAAATCTCAATTATTTTTAAAATATTTTACTTTATTTATGAATTTATTGAATGATTGCGGTGATGATATAAATGATGATCAAAATTCATTACCTGATCATCATCAAACAAATAATGAACGAACAACATCAACAAATCAAACACAACAACAACAGCAACAACAACAAACACAATTAATTAATCAATTACAACAAAAACAACAATCATTAAGAAATTCAAC